ATGTAATAGCTGGAAGAAAAGCAAAATTAGAGAGGCAATATGACCTCGTGTAACTGTTTAAAACAATTTCTGTAGAAATTGTCCAAAGCACAGTTGGTGTTTCATAGAGAAATTACTTCAGCATTTATATATAAATGACAAGAAATATTACAGGACCAGCAGATAATGTGGGAATTGAAAATCTAAAGCAGTTCTAAGTGAGTCTTGAACAGGCATAAATACATGAGAATTAGGCCATTCAGCCCATTGAGTCTTCTCCAGAGATCAACGGGATAATGGCTGATCTGATAATCCTTAAATCCACTTCCCTGCCTTTTCTCCAAAATCGGATTCTTTTACTGACTAAAAAACTGTTTGTCTCAACCTTGAATGATCCAGCCTCCAGAGCCTTCTGTGGTAAAGAACTCCACAGATTCACCATCCTTTGACAGAAGAAAGTCTTCCTCACCTCTATATTAAAAGGGCATCCTATTCCTTTAATGTTATGCCCTCTCATCCTAGACTCTCCCACAAGGGGAAACAATCTCTCAGCATCTATCTTGTCGAGCCCCCTAAGAATCTTGTATGTTTCAATAAAATTGCCACTTTCTTCTAAATTCCAATTCATACAGGCCCAATCTACTCAACATCTCCCCATGAGAAATACCTTCATACCTGGGATAAATCTAGTGAACTTTCTATGGACTTCAGATTCTGAGGGTTCCTGAAAGAGTACTACCAGTTCATCCACTATCTGGAAAATGGAATTAGAATTGTTAGGTGCCAGTTTTTGACAGGCACGGATGTGATGGGCTGAAGGTCCTTTTTCTGCACTGAGGATCTTTATGATTCTATCTATGCAGCTATACCAATCAGGTCCAGGAGATATATCAGCCATTATCCCCTCTGGTTTCCCTCGTACATTTATTCTAGTGATAGTTATAATATTTATCCAATATTTATTATAATATTTATTATGCTTTTAAGTACAATCCAATTTTCACTTTCTTTCAAGTTCCCATGTCTAGACACAACTGAAGAAATAAAGATGAATTACTGGAAATTATTTGGAATCAATTAATGAGTTTATCTTCAGTGCAAGTATTTGAATGTGTTTCATTTGTAATTATCCAGTTTATTAATATCTTTCTTGAAAGATTTGAATACAAAAGTTGACAAAGGAAATAACATTAAATTAAAAACAAATAAAGACACCCATTTTGGCCAAGGCAAAACATCTAATTTATTTAATATTTGATATTTCTAAATATTGCACTCTGGCTTTTATCGTAAACTCACTAACAGTCACTGCACTGCCCAAAACATGTAAACTTTTGCAACCACCCTCCCATATTCAGTAATTAGAATTCTCAAGAGGGCTTTAACACCAACATTCAACTTTAAAATTTGCATTTTTACTTTCAGATCCCTCCATGACCTTCCTTCTCTATCTCTATAATCTCCTCTAGCCTTTAAAACCCTCTCAAATGTCTGTGCTCCTCTAACTTGGGCTTTGAGCACTCCCAGTTTCAATCGCTCCCAGTTTCAATCGCTCCCAGTTTCAATC